TCAGTTATACCAGTGCTCAATTCCAGTAGCTGCACTAAAGAATGTGGAAAAAAAGAAATGAGTCTTTCTGATTGTCTGAATAGAAGTAGATCATTTCCACTAGAACAGCTTCAAAGCTTCCCCCAACTTTTACAGAACATCCATTGCTTAGAGGTATGTGACTGGAACATATGCTTCTTTGCATTTTCTATTTGAACTTCATGGCCTTTTTTTTTTGTTTGTTTGAAACAGTGTCATATTCTGTCACCCAGGCAGTGGTATAATCATGGCTCACTGCTGCCTTCAACTCCTGGGCTTATGTGATCCTCCCATCTCAGCCTTCCAACTAGCTGGGATTATAGATGTGCATCACCACGCCTGGCTAATTTTTAAAAAAAATTTGTATCAGGCTGGGCATGGTGGCTCACTCTGGTTATCCCAGTACTTTGGGAGGCTGAGGTGGGCAGATCACTTGAGGTCAGGAGTTCAAGACAGGCCTGACCAACATGGTGAAACCCCATCTTTAAAAAGAAAAAAAAAAGTAAAAAAAGAAAAATACAAAAATTAGCTGGGTGTGGTGGTGCGTGCCTATAGTCCCAGCTACTCAGGAGGCTGAGGCATGAGAATCGTTTGAACCTGGGAGACAGAGGTTGCAGTGAGCCAAGATTGTGCCACTGCTCTCCAGCCTGGGTGACAGAGTGAGACTCCGTTTTAAAAAAATTATTTAAGCCGGACGTGGTGGCTCATGCCTGTAATCCCAGCACTTTGGGAGGCCAAGGCAGGTGGATCATGAGGTCAAGAGATCGAGACCATCCTGGCCGACACAGTGAAACCCCGTCTCTACTAAAATACAAAAGTTAGCTGGGCGTGGTGGCATGCACCTGTAGTCCCAGCCACTTGGGAGGCTGAGGCAGGATAATTGCTTGAACTCAGGAGGCAGAGGTGGAAGTGAGCTGAGATCATGCCACTGCACTCCAGCCTGGCGTATGGCGACAGAGCAAGACTCTGTCTCAAAATAAAAAAAAAAATTTAAAAATATGTTGCCCAGGCTGGTCTCAAACTCCTGGGCTCAAGTGATCTTCCTGCCTCGGCCTCCCAAAGTGTTGGGATTATAGACATGAGCCATCATGCCAAGCCTGTTTTTGTTATATATTTTCTATATGATGATTCCCTTATCCACTTTTAATTGTTGATAATTGTTACTTAATTGTTGATCGATTGTTCTGTCATTGCAGCTGCCTTCTCAGATGGGCTCAGTGCTAAACAACTCTCTGCTGCTTCACTATATTAATTGTGTCAGAGATGAGCCTGTCTTGCTGAGGTTTTATTACTGGTTGAGTCAAACATTACAAGAAGGTAAGAATTGAGTGAGGATGGAACAAGATAGTTTACAAATTGGGTTTCTTTTATAGGGGTGCCAAATCCTAGACAAGAGGAGCCTTCATATGTTGTAATTATGTCACTGGTAATCATATATTTAAAGCATGAATGTTTATGTTGTTGTAATTTTAAGGCAGTAAGAAGGGAGAGAGATTTTGTTAAAGAAACACTACTGGATGGCCACCAAAACTCAATGGGGTGTTCTACTTTGGTGACTATTGTAATCCAAGGATTCTTCATCTTTGTATGTCCAGAAACTTGCTGTTAAGCCCCCAGAGTCTTCCATTAATGGTAACGAAACTCAGAGGAAACTAATGTATAAGCCAGAACGTCAGCTTATTATAAAATTAATTATTTCTGGTAAGCAAGATGGTCATATCTGCCAACTAGAATATTCCCTCCGTGCTATCAGCATATATGGGAGCCAAATTTGTCATTAGAAGGTTTCTTAATTATACAATTAAAGGAAAGGGCAGTGAGAAGTGTTTCATCCAGGCCAGAGTAAAGCCTGAGCATTCATTCCTCCAATGGTGAGGGATGGTGGGGAGGAGAGGGTATATTTCTCTGGACATAGTATTTCTTTCGACCAAATTGTTTCTTTCCTGGATAAGCAACTCCTGACTCTTCTGATGGTTAAAGTTACTTTTAGTTGATTCCAGGCCAATTCTCCTTCTTGTACTCTGAAACTTTTAAACAGAATATGATACAGTTTTTTAAAATTTCCACTTACTAAATTTCTATCACTCTTACATTATACCCAGCCTACCCTAACTGAAGTTTAGGGTATTCTAAAACTTTCAATTCAGATGTTTATACTTTCTTGGATTTACTATGTGATATAAAGCTTACCATATTCATTATACGTGGATTTTCTCCATTTATTTTTTTTCACTGTAAACTTTTCCCTGTATTACCAAGTTGTTGAGGAACATCTCACTATCACCTCCATGTATCTGTTCTAGTCTACATCATGAGTTAGCTAGGATGTATGAAACTTAATGGCTTTTTTACTTTGTCACTTGTTTGTTACTTTAGTGATAATTATTTTTTGTGTACTTTTTTATTGTGGTACAACTAGATGCTTATATTTACTGTTTTTGCTCTAGAATGTATTTGGTACAAGGTGAATAATTATGAACATGGAAAAGAATTTACCAATTTCCTGGATACTATCATCAGGGCAGAGTGCTTCTTACAAGTAAGCTTTCACATGCTTCTTCCACACTCCATCACTCTTTACTAAAGTTTATTTAGATATCCATGGAAAACCTTTTCTTGGCTGGGTGCAGTGGCTCGTGCCTGTAATCTTAGCACTTCGGCGGCTGAGGTGGGTGGATTGCTTGAGCCCAGGAGTTCAAGACTAGCTTGGGCAACATGGCAAAACTCCATCTCTATAAAGAATAGAAAAATTAGCCAGGCGTGGTGGCATGTGTCCGTAGTCCCAGCTACTCAGGAGGATGAGGTAGGAGGATCACTTGAGCTCAGGAGGTCGAGGCTGCAGTGAGCCATAATTGTGCCACTGCACTGCAGCCTGGGTGACAGAGTGAGATCCTGTTTCAAAAACAAACAAACAAAAACCCCCCTTTTTTAGTACCTGATATCTTTTGTAAACAATATTTGTTCAATTTGAAACTCATTATAAATAGAGCTGAGTTGGACTTTTATCTTTGCACTTGGACTGCAGTTGGATTTGAAGAAAGAATATGTTATATTATGCAAATAAAAGGGAAAAGCCTGTAATTAGAGAACAAACTGAAGATGTAATTAAATATATGCAGTTAATTGAATTAGCCAGTAATGAAATTTCATAGGGTCACTACTTATATTCTTTTTTCCTTTATTATTATTATTATTATTATTATTTTTTTTTTTTTTGAGACGGAGTTTCGCTCTTGTTACCCAGGCTGGAGTGCAATGGCGCGATCTCG